GGGGTCGAGTGAGATTCGTAGGAGATCTCAGTCAAGGGGACTGCAGTTTGAAGATCACAAAACTCCACGCTAACGACAATGGCACGTATGGGGTGGTTGTAGCTGCTTCCGTCGAAAACCAGACTGGGAGACAGATGCTCTACCAGAAGGTCGTCGCTCACGTTAGAGGTAAAAACTTGGCGGGGCCATTTTTATCTGCTTAAAACCATCCCACATGGACCCTTTCTTTTAGCTAGGATTCAAAGTATTGGTTGCTTTGGTTCAATTTATATTTACACTTTTCTCCCTGACAAATGATGACCTTGAAGCTTCACAAAAATGACAAAAATAAAATAAAATTATAAACAAAACAAAAACAAACAAAACCCACCCTCAGAGTAGGTTTCCTCATAAGGAAAATTATGCCATCCGGTCAATCCCAATGTACAACACATCTTTTTAGAATTTTCTAGGGACAGAGTGCTCACAAGTAGTCTGGGGGGCTGCCCTGGGACTTGCCAGCTTGCCCAAGGCTACACAGGCTGGCTTTTTCTGTGGGGAGGCTAAGTGGGGAATCAGACGCCCATCGTCTGGCTCCACAGCCAGATACCTAACTCACTGAGGTATCCAGAGAGTATTAATAGCTGTGTATTGCGTAATTCAGGTGCCTGAATTATTGCCCTGACACGAATCACACTTTTATTGTGGGTTGTTTCAAAAATGAGGTGCATTAGAGAGAATGTCCTTTTCTTAGTTCTCATATACAGTGGTGCCTCGCTAGACAGTTACCCTGCATGACAGTTTTTTCGCTAGACATTGACTAGACACAAAACAGTGATTCCTATGGGGGAATTTCACTGGACAATGTTTGGTCTCTGCTTTGCAAACCAATTTTCGCTAGACGACGATTTTGACAGCTCCCTCTGTGCTCGCAAAATGGGTGTTTTCGGGACCTAAGCTTCGCAGGACAGCTATTTAAACAGCTGATCGGCGGTTCGCAAAGCGACTTTCCTATGGCCGATCTTTGCTAGACAACGATGATTCTTCCCCATTAAACAGGTTTCAATGCATTCCAATGGGGAAATCCTTTTCGCTAGACGATGATTTCACTAAACAGCGATTTCAATGGAACGGATTATCATTGTTTAGCGAGGCACCACTGTAATGAGCAGAAAGTGCTTTCAAAATAGCAAGTGAGAGTAATGTTCACTCAGTGATACCCCCAGGAAGGTGGGACTGGTTCTGTCTGTGCTAAGAAGTACCACACACCCTATTATATTAAGATATTTTCCTGGTTATTGAGTTTTGTCTTACAGTTTGAACTTTGGCCAATTGTGTGCTGGTGCCCTGATCCAATTTGCAGGCCAATTCAGAACTTCACGATGTATTCCTGTTCTATTTGGAGTGGTGTGTATCCTGCCCAATTTGGTTTTGTGCTCTGGGTTCTAAATGTACATAGTAAATTGGTAAACCCAAGACCTTGGACGACCAAACAGTTATAACTCTTTGTTTTTTTTCTTTGTTGACTGTGAAATTTGGTCACATGATAGATTCTAAAGCAGGAAGCAAGTCTTCCTTATTTCAGCTAGTTAGCTTCTGATGTTTGTGTCTTAGGCACATTTATATTTTCTTATTTTGTTTATTATTTGTTTATTTTTTCCTACCTGGGTTTTCTCCTTAAAAAGGACTCAAGGCAGCTTACATTGTTAAAAGATAGTATTTAAATGTAACAACGGTGAGTATACAAATACAGTGGTGCCTCACTTTACGATTGCCCCGCATTACGACGAATTTGCTTTACAACGATCTTTTTGCAATCGCAAAACGATGGTCTAAATGGGGAGATTTCACTTTGCGATGATTGGTTTCCTGCTTCAGGAACCGCTTCTTCACAAAACGATGATTTTCCAACAGCTGATCGGTGGTTTCAAAATGGCCCCTGGGTAAATAAAATGGCTCCTCGCTGTGTTTAGGGATGGATTCCTCGCTATACAGGCAGCGAAAATGGCCACCGTATGGAGGATCTTCGCTGGATGGTGGGTTTTAAGCCCATTGGGACGCATTAAAAGGTTTTCTATGTGTTTCAATGGGCTTTTAATTTTCACTTTACAATGTTTTCGCTTAACGTCGATTTTCCTGGAACAGATTATCGCCGTTAAGCGAGGCACCACTGTACTAAAAAAGGATCAAACAGATAGCATACAAAAAAACATATGCAACATCAAAACACATTGAAAGCAGTAAGGCACAATAATTCATTTAAAAATTCCACTGAGACAATTAGTCACTGAGGGAAAGTGCTTGACAGATGTTATTGCTTGCGGAAGAATGGTAAATATGTTCTTGCGTGCAGAAGAATGGTACATATGGGGCAAAGCTGTCCTCTTGTAGCAGGAAGTTCCAAAGTCTGGGAGTAGTAACAGAGAGGGCCCTCTCGCGTGTCCCCATTGAATACAAGGTGATGGGACTGAGAGAAAGCCCTCTCCTGATGATCTTAACCCTCTCTCAAAGGAGGATGCAGTCCTTGAGACAGTTTTGACTCAGGCTATTTAGAGCTTTATAGGTTAGAACCACCATTTTGAATTGTGCCGGGGAACAGATTGACAGTAAGTGGAGCTGCTGTTAACAGAGGAGGTTATGTGATCTCTGTGACCAGCCCCAGTTAGCAAATCTGGCAATTGCTGTCCTAGGGGATAGTGGAAGATCTGAGCATCCTGGTTAAGGGAATGGTCCGTTATATGCAAGGCAAGTTCCATTCCTGCACATGAGGGACAACATTCTTCCTTGCTCCCCCACCCCAGGGACAGTAGAGAAATAAAGGGGCTGAAGTGATTTGTGCCCCATTTTTGGGCTCCATATTTTTGTTAGTGATAAATCCACTTCTCCTTACCAAAGCTGTCCATTTTACCCTGATCTCAGCCTCAAATAAATTGGTCCAAATCAAGCCAATTTTGTTTGGGGTTTGTCTGAGCCTCCTGAATTATCCCTAATGGCCAGGGTCTATCCAGTGGCTTCTTCAGCACTCCTTCGGCCACCAAAGTTAGATTCATCCAGATGGGCGGTAGAAAAGCCAAATAAAGAAATACTGCAAATTAATATGAACAAACGCTCTCTTTTTCTTGCCTGGACACAGAATCGCCTCCGGAACCCAAGATAGAAACTGTGGAGGTGGAAAGCCAAGAATGGTGGACCATGAAAGTAGCCTGCTCAGTAGCTTATCATTGCCCCGATGAGCCGATGACGTTGACATTCATTGATTTAGAGGGAAATCGACAAAAGATGACAATAGGAAATGGAATGATCCAGACAGTTGCAAGTGTCGAACCAGTGTGGAAAGATGAGAAATATAGAAAAATGACATGCTTACTACATGATAAGGATGGGTTGCTGAGGTACAAGGCCAGTTTGGAACTGGACGGTCCACGTGAGTATGTGGTGGTGATAGAATGGGTCATTTTTTTATGAGGAAGCTGCCTTATCCTGATCCAGACTGTTGGTTTGTCTAGGCCAGTCCTGTCAGGTCTGACTAGCCAGGGCAAGGATCCTTTCTAGTGCTACCTGGCAATCCTAGGCGTGCTCTGATGCTCATGTATTTGACCCAACTGACCTTCCAAAATCTGATGAGACTGAAGGTGTTTAAGGTGTGTGAGTGGATGTCAGGGACCGCTGTATTTATATACAGTGGTGCCTCGCTAGACAGTTATCCCACATGACAGTTTTTTTCGCTAGACATTGGCTTTTTGCAATCGCTATAGCGATTTGCAAAACAGTGATTCCTATGGGGGAATTTCGCTGGACAATGTTTGGTCCCTGCTTCGCAAACCAATTTTCACTAGATGACGATTTTGACAGCTCCCTCCGCGCTCGCAAACAGGTGTTTTCGGGACCCAAGCTTCGCAAGACAGTGATTTAAACAGCTGATCGGCGGTTTGCAAAGAGGCTTTCCTATAGCCGATCTTCGCTAGACAATGACGATTCTTCCCCAGTGGAATGCATTAAACAGGTTTCAATGCATTCCAGTGGGGAAATGCTTTCTGCTAGACAATGATTTCACTAAACAGCGATTTCAGTGGAATGGATTATCATTGTCTAGCGAGGCACCACTGTACCTCTCAATGGTATGTAAAGACAGGTGTGACTTGAAGACTCATTGGGTCTTCAAGTCACACCTGAGGTTACCTGTATCATTGATGGGTGCTGGTTGTGGAGCAGCTGGCCAGAGGATAGTGCTGAAGAAGAAGGAGATGTAGCTGAGGGTTCTGTCCCAGGAAGGACCTCATCTGGCTGACTCTTGACCAAGTGAGCACCTTTTTTCCAGTTTCCTGTGAGATGGAAGAAGCCACTGAGAAGAAGAGGCCATAGACACAGTAGGTACACCTGAGTCTTGGCAGAGAAGAGCTTCTAATCTAGACCTTTCTGGATATGTGGATATAGTCATGCCCTGCACAGCGATGTTAATCCGTTCCAGATTAATCGTCGCTATCCGGAAACATCGCAATGCGGGTGGGAAAACCCCATAGAAACGCATTAAACTTCATTTAATGCATTCCTATGGGGTGAAAACTCACCATTATGCGAAGATCCTCCATAGCACTGCCATTTTCGCGCCCTCGGTAAGTGAGGAAATCGCGCAAAAATGGTTGCAGTGGCCATTTTGGGCACCCGGCAGCCATTTTGGAACCGCCGATCAGCTGTTTTAGAAACATCGCAATGCGATGTTTTGCCCATTAAAACATCGCAATGCGATTGCATTAGCGATCTCAAAAAATAGATCGCTATGCGGATTCGTCGTTAAACGGTGCGCTCGTTATGCAAGGCACCACTGTACTATGAATGCAGTGTTTGGGCCCATTTGGAACGCATTAAACTTTGTTTAATGCATTCCAATTGGGGTTTTTGATCCGTTTTACGATGTTTTCCCATAGCGAAGGTTAATCCGAAACGGATTAACCTCGCTATGTGGGGCACCACTGTACACCTGAGTCTTGGCAGAGAAGAGCTTCTAATCTAGACCTTTCTGGGATATGTGGATACAGTCGTGCCCCACATAGCGACATTAATCCGTTCCGGATGAATCGTCACTATCCGGAAACATCGCAATGCGGGTGGGAAAACCCCATAGAAACGCATTAAACTTCATTTAATGCATTCCTATGGGGTGAAAACTCACCATTATGCGAAGATCCTCCATAGCACTGCCATTTTCGCGCCCTCGGTAAGTGAGGAAATCGCGCAAAAATGGTTGCAGTGGCCATTTTGGGCACCCGGCAGCCATTTTGGAACCGCCGATCAGCTGTTTTAGAAACATCGCAATGCGATGTTTTGCCCATTAAAACATCACAATGCGATTGCATTAGCGATCTCAAAAAATAGATCGCTATGCGGATTCGTCGTTAAACGGTGCGCTCGTTATGCGAGGCATCACTGTACTATGAATGCAGTGAGGAGCTCTGGCCTATCAATTCTATGGGACTCTTCTTGGAGCAAAATTCCCAGTGACTGGAATTATGGGGGTGGTGGAAGTGGCTGCCTCAACCCATGGAATTCAATTCAGTCTGTCGTTCTGGGTTAAACAGTTACCCTGCACCAGCCAGCTGAAACTAGAGCCCTGTCTTGATGTTGGATGAGAGAGGCCACCATGTGCATTGAGCCCTAAACATGTCGCAGTGGGAGACAAGGTGGCCGGAGTGACTGGTGTGCAGCAGTAAATCGGCATTGATCTGGCGAGCCCTAGATAGCGATGGTCACCCCAAGGAGGAAGAGTGAATCAAAGCGCAGGGGACCTACCAAGAAATACCCAGTCAAACAAGAAGAACTGCCCATTTTCTTCAGACAAGGAGGAAGATGGAGGCTTAGAACGGGCAAAATGTTATCCAGACTGGGGATACTGGTGAGGGGAAAGGATCCAGCAGTAGTACCCTTCATAATGCAGCCTGTGAGTGGGACACACTGCAGGAGCACACCAGTAGGATTAATAGACCATTTTTTGCTCAATTGACAGTTATAAAGGAAGGGGAACGGCCACATCAAACACCCTATACATCAATGGAGAAGGCCCCACAGGTGACCACTGCAGTGGATGATACATCAATAGATGGCCAGCCAGTAGCAGGACCATCTATCACCATGGGATCCTGGCGAGGTGAATACTCTTCTCCCTCAAGACACAAAAGTGGATCTGTCCAGTTGGTCTTAGCGACCTCGTAGGCAGCTTGCTCCTCCTGCCACCCACCATCTTGGCTGCAGATTGCTCAGTGTCATTCGGAATAGACCGCCTTTGTAAAATTTAGCAAATTCTTGAAGCGGTCTCTTAGGAAGTGGTCTCGAGACCATTGTAAATGATTTAGCTGACTTTTTTTGTTTGTTGAGTCATGGGATTCTGGGCAGTGCTATAAGCTGATTTTAGAGTTCGTGACACTCTGAGGTGACCTGGGGAGTCTTTCAAGAAAAGACAGAGGGCTCACACCCCTGCCTAACTTTTTTTTTACACACTGATATGGAGTAACAATTATGCCAGGTTTTCCATGAAATGCTGGAGAATGAACTTGTATTTTTCATGGGCAGGGGTTGGGTTACCCTTCAGGAGTTGCAGAATGTGGTTGACTGAAGATTAACAAAGAAACAAATAAATAAACAAACAAACAAACAAACAAATCTGGGCTTTGCATGCTGGGCAGTTGCCCCGTGGAAACTTCCTTGCACTGATCATGTGATGCCATCAGAGGCTCGAGACACTCTCACCCTCTTTTGAGGGCCACTCAAAAGATGAGGCCATGTGACAGGAATTCTTGGGAGGCATGCCATGCTGTTTCACATCAGAGGAAGAACTTCAGAGTTCAGGTGTACCAAACCCTGGCTGAAGGAACAGGAGACTTTCGGTGTCATCAACGACCTCATTTTCTTAAGATTTTTTTGTTATAGGAATGAGTGTGGCTTTGGATCAATGAGCTGGCAAATGGGACAGTACCTTTTTGTGTGTACAGCAGGTACTGAGTTCACAGACATCTTGTTCTCCAGAATCATGAGATCCATGAGGGCATTCACACTTCTTTTTGCCATTACGTCCTGTCCCTTCCTCCTCAGGTCATAGTTCACAGACATCTTGTTCTCCAGAACATGAGGGCATTCACACTTCTTTTGCTATTACGTCCTGTCCCTTCCTCCTCAGGTCAAGCTATTCTGAACTACAGTGGTGCCTCGCTAGACAGTTACCCTGCATGACAGTTTTTTTGCTAGATATTGCCTTTTTGCGATCGCTATAGTGATTCTCAAAACAGTGATTCCTATGGGGGAATTTTGCTGGACAATGTTTGGTCCCTGCTTCGCAAACCGATTTTTGCTAGACGACGATTTTGACAGCTCCCTCCGCGCTCGCAAACAGGTGTTTTTGGGACCTAAGCTTCGCAAGGCAGCGATTTAAACAGCTGATCGGCAGTTCGCAAAGCAGCTTTCCTATGGCCGATCTTTGCTAGACAACGACGATTCTTCCCCATTGGAACACATTAAACAGGTTGCAATGCATTCCAATAGGGAAATGCTTTTCGCTAGACAATGATTTCGCTAAACAGCGATATCAGTGGAACGGATTATCATCGTCTAGCAAGGCACCACTGTAGTGTTATGGTTTGGTAATGAACCAAATGAAGGTCAATAAACTGTGGGTGAGCCCTGACAAGATGGAGGCTCCATAGGTGTGAACAGAAATTGGGTGAAGTGCTAAAAGGGGAGGGGGGGTCACTCCTCCTGAAAAATTGAGTATGATGCTTTCATTATAATACTTTTTATTATACATACATGCTGTATACCCTCTGCTGGTGCTCTGGAATTGGGCAGGTTGTGCGTCTCTGCACAGGTGGCACAACTCATATCACCAGTGACACATGGGCAGGGTGATCTCAGTGGAATCTTATCTCAGGAACTGTACCGGGTGTATGTGTTGAAATCTGAGCCTCTGACTTTGCAACCACGTCTCAGATCCACTGAGTTACACCAGGTCTGTTGTCCAAGCTTAATTTGATTCAGGTTTTTTTTTTTTTGCCATTTGAAGCTTGAAGTGCCTTTTATTTGATTTCTCTGGTACTGCAGCTGCAATCATTCCTGGATAAGGGATAGTTCGGCCTCAATGATATTGTAACAGGAAGAGTAATATCAAATGCTTTGAATTTCCAATAGATACTTGTGAGTTTTTTCTGGTGTTCAGGCACTTTTCTCTATTGTTTTTACTATGTGATATCCTGTAACATGGTTATGATCTATTTCCTCTACAAACAGACACTTTGATCTTATATTCCAGATCATCCTAAGGATGTCCAGCTTGTCCTTTTAAATGACCTGCCCATAAAGGAAGGGCATGATGTCAGGCTGAACTGCTCCGTGGGCAGAAGCGTCCCTGATGATAATTGGTACAACTGGATTAAGTTAGATGCTCATACAGCTGAAATTCAGTACAGTCACCCAAAACTATTGATGTTCCCGGCAACTCCTGGGCCAGCCGTTTCCTATCAATGTGAAGCATGCAACAGGTTCGGGTGTATGTCATCTCAGAAAATCTCTATAGAGGTCCACTGTGAGTAATAATTCTTTATTTATTATCGGGAAGCCCTGAAAAATTCCATCACTAACTAGAGCATGTTCATAAGGAGCAAGAGAGATGAAGGTGGGGAGGATCGTATATCGATTCACCATGTCTGATGCACATAAACTATGTGGCAGCTTTGTGTACATACTGTATATGCACTGCATCTTTATACTCAGCAAATGCAGGCACTTTAGGCTGAATATGAGTGGCATAGCCAGATCAAGGAATTACCTCTTGGTGGAGAGGTAACATATTTCAACATGAGAGCACATGAAGCTGGATGGTAAACTGTGGCCTGAATCCTATTGTGTAAATTATGCTGGCATAAGGTTGATGGTGTCACCAGCAGGGAGAGATGGTAATTAAAGACCTCCTGCTTTGATCCCAAGGCTGTCATGATGTCCACACAATGAGACTGATTGTGTGTGAGTTGTGAAAGCTCCAGAATACAACCAGGAATTCTTTAATAACTCCTGGCAATTTCTCACTGCCGGTGATGTAATTACTCTTACGTGGGCATAGTTTACACAACAGGATATGAGCCTATAAATATTAAATCTCACTGCCGGTGATGTAATCACTCTTACGTGGGTATAGTTTACACAACAGGATATTTGCCTATAGATATTAAATGTTTGATAGTGTTGCGTTTCATGAAATCTTGGGACTTTATTATCAGAAACTCTAGGCCAGTGGTTCCCAACCGTGGATGCCCAGATGTTTTTGGACTACATACAACTCCCAGAAATCCTAGCCAGTAAAGCTAGTGGTGAAGACTTCTGGGAGTTTTAGTCCAGGAACATCTGTGGACCCTAGGTTGGGACCCATTGCTCCTCAGTTAACAGCTTACACAGGAACAACATTTATTGAAGAAGTTAACAATGAAGTCAGCAATCCGTGTCTGGACCTGAAGATAGGGCTGTTGAGTGCACCAAGCATGGGTTTTTGCCAGTGATAAGCAATGGTCTTATACTGAGAAATGACTTTACTATAAAGGAATCACTATATAGCAGACCGCTGAACGCTTCAGTTATCTTCATTTTATTGCTGTGGCATGACAGTGTCCATTTTATACTTAGTTGTTCTTCTATCTTACAGTTTCCCCCAAGGAGGTAAAAATTTTGAAATGGTCACCAGAACATATTGTGGAAGGCAGCGAAGTTAAGCTGAAATGTGAAGTGGGAATGGCAAATCCATCTAATCTCACCTATACATGGTACCGTGGTGAGGAACAAAGAAAACAGAACTCTACAGAAGAAATGTTGATCTTCTCTAGTGTGTCTTCTAAAGACTCTGATGATTACTGGTGCGAAGTCAGCAACAGTGTGGGCACGACAGTTTCCTCCAAAGTCACACTGTGTGTTTTGTGTGAGTAAGACCATGAGAACGGGAGTGGACACATGATCAAAAGTGGATCTGATTTATTGCTGTATTTGGAGTGTTGCTCATCATATCCTGCCACATTATCTGATTACAAAACCCCAGGATCTCTACCTTTATTGCCCTGCCCTAACTGTCAGTGATGGGAAACTTGTTTAATATTTTGGCACTGTGGGTTTGCTCATCTACTATCTGCAGAAATGCACACCTAAGAACTGATTTCTTCCTCTAGTACATTACTGATCTATTTCTTATCCTGGTAAACTTGGTGAACTAAAATCCAATTTTGCATGATTAGAAATGTCCAGATTCCTATAATGTTGAATAACAAACCATCTGTTGCTCGGCTTTTGAAGATTTACACTGGCCAGTATCCTGTGGCGCAGCTTCATCTGAGCAACAGAAACCATGTCAGGGCAATAGCGGATTGCTGCTATTTAAAAGAGCTCCTGCAATTTTGGAGTGCACACAATTTTGTCTCATTGCACAAATATCCATCAAAATTGAAGCAGGAGCTTGTGAATTCACAGCTATTGGCCTCAGCTCAGTCTCGTTCCCATTGTGCAAGTAGAACTGCTTGTCCAGACGTTGACCTTTAAGATCTAGCATGGCACAGCACCACACAGCCCTGAATCCTCAAGTCCTATCTCTGACACGACCCTCACTAGATATGGCATTTTTTGGAGTTTCTGAACCCCAAATACCACACTTCTCAGGCCTCTACCTAATTTGCAGGCTGGCACTGTGGGCTAAACCACAGAAGCCTCCGTGCTGCGGGGTCAGAAGACCAGCAGTCGTAAGATCGAATCCATGCGACGGAGTGAGCGCCTGTCGCTTTGTCCCAGCTCCCGCCAACCTTAGCAGTTCGAAACCATGTCAATACGAGTAGATAAATAGGTACCACCTTGGTGGGAAGGTAAAACGGCGTTCCCTAGTCACGCTAGCCATGTGACAATGGAAACTGTCTTCTATGCAGGAGAAACACTGGCTCTACGGCTTGAAAAACAGGATGAGCACCGCCCCCTAGAGTCGGACACGACTGGACTGAAAATGTCAAGGGGAACCTTTAACTTTTAACAATTACCTCAGTGGGACACACCTTGGAGAACAGCCTATATTAGAAAGGTGTGACTTTTAGCTAGGCCTAACCCTGCTTAAGTTTCTTGTTCCTGCCCCAGTGCAAGCTGGAAGCTTGCTTCTATGCAGACTACTTGGGCAGCACTAATAATAACCATCAGTAATTTTAATAAAATCGTGTATTTTGATTGGATTGTAAAGCTGTCAATCAAAGTCACACTTTTTTCCTCCCTCCTCTCTATGGTGTTTTTCTTATATGGGGAAATTTGTGGGAAATACATCATGGGGGGTTTGTGGAATCAATGGATCTGTGTCTTCAGCAAAGCAATTCTTCAAGAGTGCTTAGATTCGATATACTAGGGAGGAGCCCTGCTTTAGAACAAAAAGTTATTTTCTGTAATGGAAGTCTGATCTCAGTGCAAGCAGAGAGCAGAACTCACTGCTTCAATATTTCAAAGACTCTTGTGCATTTGCTGATAGTTGCTGCTTCTCTACTGCAGCTGGGATGTTCAAGAAATCAACACTTTGAAAGTTTACTGCTTGTGTTAATAATAACCCATTATCACTTTGAAGGTTCAATACCACTGTCATCTGTATCTGACTTCACATGGCATCCATCCACACCAGCCCTGTAAATTGTGTGTTGTATTCTGCCTCTAAAAAAGTGGGTTGCAACCCACATATGTTCATACTAAAATAAATCAATTTGTCTTAAGGGTGCCGCAACTTTTTGACTGTCTCTCCTTCTGTGTTGTTTTGCTTTCCTCCAATGTGGTCATGTCCATAGTCTGTACAAATCAGTTTGGTCCAGATCTGGGCTAAAGTTTTATCCAAATCTGAGCCACACCCCTACCAAGAGAGTTAGTAATAAATAGAACATGTAGCAGCACTGACAATAGTAATTATAGGATGGTCCCTAGTGAGAAAAGGCTCCCTGGATTTGAACTCATGTTTTGGGAATGTCGACTTTTGGCAGGGTATAGGCAAAAGACACCTAATCTTCATCATACTACAGACTACTTCCCTTTTTCTTTTTTTCTTTTAAAGGTTCCAGAATAAGTAGAATGGAAAGATAGTTGCTTGAATGGAAATCCTAAGCTTCCTTGGGCAAATAAAACCATATTCTTTGGCTCCTGTCTGCTGAAATTAGCATTTTTATGGAGAACCAAACATAGTTTATATTGCTAAAGTATTTGATTACCAAATGGCCAGCGAGATGGAAAGAAAGGACAAAATTTTGGCTTGGATTCTTAATTGGGTGGGATTTGTGGGGTCTGGTGGCTGCATCCTGAGAGGAGACCATCATGCTTCTGAATGGCTCATGGGGCGTGAACAACACTTCCCGTTTGATTCCTTCTTTCAGGTGCCCAATGCTATGAAAGTCCATTGAGCATAACTCTCAGTTCCCTGGCAGGCTGGGAAGGATCTTGTGTGTGGATTCCGTGTCGTGTCAGTGAACCTAATCTTTCCGATAAAATCAACATCACTTCTTTATTGTGGTATTTTGATCCGTATGTGTCGTACGATCATGTGGATCACCTCCTATATGACGGCTCCAAAACCTCCGTGGATCTCATGAACCGAACAAGTCCCAACTTTCGGGGCCGGGTGAAGTTTGTTGGGGATCTCAACAATGCTGACTGCAGCCTGTTGGTTACTCAGCTCCAGACAAAGGACAGTGGCTGGTACCGAGCCAGAGTGGTCATTTCTGTTCCAAATTATCCTTGGCCACTCACAAGGTTTCTTAGTGCTGCAGTGAATATTACAGGTAAAAATCCTTGAAGCTGCAGTTCTTATTTCCTCCTCAAGCTAGCCAAATCTATCTATCTGTCTATCTGTCTGTCTGTCTGTCTGTCTGTCTGTCTGTCTGTCTGTCTGTCTGTCTGTCTGTCTGTCTGTCTGTCTGTCTGTCTGTCTGTCTGTCTGTCTGTCTGTATGGCCATCAGAACCCACAGTTGATATTATTTCAATTAAAAGTCTTCTGGAACAGGAAGCTTTTTCCCTTGCGCCGAAATGTCATCAGCGTCGGCGCCAGACAAATCTCAGTTGGGAGGGCATTCCATAGTCTGGGGGCAGCTGCCGAAAAGGCCC